ATTCAGCTATCGTTATTCTGATCGTTGTACGGGAGGGTTTACACGACTAAATAGGCCAGCTCGGGGGCAACATTTTTGGCGCTTACGCGGTGCAACAGGTGCATATATCGAAAATTATGCAAATATTGGTGGGGCTGGCAGATGGTAGAGTCGCGGGATCAGGTGCATTGTTGTTCTGTTGCCCTAAGTGTCACAATTATTACAGTCATCACAATCATCATAATAGTCACAATGGTTATAATGGTCGCAATCTCACAATCGTCACAATAATCATAGTAGTCACAATAGTTATAATGGTCACAATGTCACAACAGTCACAATTATTCTAGCCTTCACAGTAACTGTCTGATTACCCCATTTTTCATTAGACCATGCGATTGACACACGTAGAGTCACAACAGTAAATGCATCGCTATTCTACAACCATAGCACAAGCATCATAATTATCGCAATCATCGCAACCGTCACAATCATTCCAGTCATTCCATTAAACATCCAATCGTTCCATTTCCCCATCAGATATGCCCAATCCCTACAAAAACGTCCCACCATCCCTTCCACACTCCCTCGAGACGCAATCGTTCGGGGTGAAACGTGAAATTAGCTAGTTGTCCAAGAATTGGCATCCATATTCCGGCGCGGCGTTTCCAGAAAAGTAAAGTAACCATGTGTACACAGTGCGCACCGAGGGAATTCGGATGAGACACGTTGAACGCGGCCGCGGTTGATCCACACCCAACGATCCAAAGCGAGGGGATTTCACGCGAGGAGAGCGGGCAAAAATATCTACGCGTCTTGCGCGAATACGCGAGTCGTCGGTGGTTGAGCACGGTTACGCGGAAGGGGATGGGGTGGGGTGAGGGAATAGCAGAGGAGTGGCGTGGCGAGTGGCGAATCTCGCAATCTCGTACTCGCGATCAGACCGTGGAGTCGACGACAACCCTTCCAACCGAGCCAGTGCTTTTCTCTCCGTCACGCATCGCAGTTGCGTTCCGTTTGCCCCCTGAAGACGAATTTCTACCAGAGGAAAACCCGCCACGCTAAACGAAAATCATGTATCGAAGGATTCCAGTGCTAGTCGTCGGTCTCGTGCTCGTTTCGGTGGCCCGTTCAGGTGAATATTCAAATTATACACACTTTTCTACTTTACGAACATTTCTACACTTACTTTTATTTCTTATTTACTTAGTTTTTGTTGGAAACCGGTGAAATTGGTGAAAATTAAAGGAGAAGCTTGCCTAAAGCGATAGGAGAACTTTACGAGGGTCTTGCTTTTCAGTGGTCGGGGAACGTTAGTGGTCAGACGTGCTCCACCACTTACGACCTGTTAGAGTGCTTTCAGCAATCGCATTTTGAACGCGTCACGAGTGGATCTTCCGACAATTTTTAAATTGTACTTTTGCAACATTTTTTGGAATCGGAAAGGAAATTGATCTTTCCAGCGGTTCGCGCGAATATTTTTTGATAAAACGGACCTGAGCGCGACTTTGAACAAATGTAAACATAAAGACCGACGGGGACGGTCAAAGGATTTAATATTCGCGGCGTAGCACGTAATTGGAAATCGTATATTGAAAAGAGGCTCACTCTTCGAACGATTAGAGTAAACAATTGTATGAGAAGAACGAAACATGTCGCGAAATTTTGGTTGTGTTATTATTGAAATTTGTATTATTATGGTTTACATGAATTCGATCACTGAAATGATTCACAGTTAGCGATTAGTATGATTTATTTGACACGTATGTAGTTTGGGGAAAGTTCCTCGCGAAATGTGTTCAAGTAACTGCAACAAGTTACCGACCGCCTGACTTATTAAACGCCTTACTACTTCAATTGCGGAGAAACTTGCTATACTTTCGCTACTGTAATCTTCGATCTCAGATAAACGGAAATTTATTCTCTTCAGATTCTTCTCAATATATTTTTATACTAAACGAAAATTGTAATAACAAATATGCATTTTTTTAACTCGGAACAAATAAGGTATCAGCTCGAAGTACAAAGATTTATTAACGAATAATTGCTATTCGTTATTGAAATATAGTACTGTTTCTGTGAAACCATTGGTATATTTTGTTTGTTTAAACGTGAATTTTTGACACGTTTGGTTGTTTCATCGTGATACGTGACCCTAACTGTTACAACTTTGGCTAAGTACGAGTGATCAAGGAGGCTCCGAGAAAAGGTCAATTGTTAAGAATTAACGTCAGTGTTCAGGCCTAACCAGTTAGACGTTAATGCAAGATTAAACGGAGCTCATGACATATTCAGGCTTCTCGAGATACTGCAAATTGTCTTGAATGATTTTTAAAAGAACTATTAGTTTGATCATTTCTTTTTTCATTTTCCTGAATAGGAATATTCATCACGATCATATGTATACTTATTTAGTAATTACTGTTTGCATGATTTACTCTAAAACTTGATTTTCACTACATGTATTTAAATATTTATCAATACAGTAATATTAGTGTTCTTAAAAAAATTAAAAATTCTTTTTAAACACATTAGAAATTAACTTGGCCATGTAATAGTTCAGTAACTGTTATCTCTGTGATTACGATATACTCAGATGTTTACAACTCTGCAATAAAATTTAATGACAATTAAATGCTGTATTTGATGAGTACTTGACGATATATAGAGTCGTAGAATTTTTAATCGATTTCGAATAACTCCAATACCGAAAAATAGTAGGTTAACTGCAGTTTGTCGAATCGCGACTGGTTGAAGCTTTTCAGAGTGAGTAGCGTCGCGACTCACGGCGCCACGACGCCGCGACCCAAATAGTTAACTACGCACTGTGACTCGCGAACGCACCCTAGTACTTCCAATCGAAGTGGAACGATATGCGTAAATTAAAATAGAATTTTTCAATATTTTACGCGAAATTCAACGTCGTGTGTGAAGTTCAATATTTTAGATAAAATTCAATATTCTATATAAACTTGCTATGTACACTGAAAAATGTAAATATGCATTTACTAACCGATTTTAATTTACCTAGAATGAAAGGTATTAGAATATTAAAATAACATTGTGTTTACGACGTTACAATTCCTCTATAACCGACAATGATAATTACGAAAGTAGTTCGGACCTCACGAAATTCCTGGATGGATCCCGCAAAGTCTCAGGGGCTTCGTCGAGGACTCTTTGTGAAATGCTGCTTGTTAAGTCATCGTCACGTTCGAAATAAAAATCACGTAACGATCATAAGTTTCCCGCGGTGCTTTTTACATTTACCTTTTTAACACGAATAAAATATTACACGGAAAACCTTGTCTCCGTCCTTGGATACTTAACAATTCTAATTAGGACAAACAAGGAGGGGAAGAATTATCTTCTTCGCCATCGCTCTCGATCGCAATTGTTCGAATTCTTTCCCAGGTCGCTACAGAACCCGTGTATCTGCATTCGGCACACACACCAAGCGAAAAAGAAACTCTGGGAACTTGCTGGCGATCATAAACATTCTCGCGATGCGAGAACACACTCCATTGGTTAGGTAGAATTATGTGATGGCCGACAGGGAAACCCCGGCGTCGCGGGGGCGTCTACCAGGCGCCAGAGTGAACAGATTATTTACTCCTTCCGGGAAACAAAGAATTGTTGAATTGAAATGGACTATAATCGAGAAAAATGGCTGCTACATTTTTCCAAGAAGACTTTCTCACAGTCAACGTCTCGCAGACCTTACGTCTCACTTTTCTGTTCGCGATTACCAACCGTAGGATTTACGATGCTCGTGTACGATTCGGTAGAATTTAGTTTGTCGGTGGCAAGAAGTTTTCTCGAGCTGTTACAACGTTCGCAAATTCTCATTTGAAATTTTTGTATTGTTGCATGAAATGGAGAAGAAAGGATGCAGATTGAGCACTTTGTCTTTTATATCTACGAATTTGAATATTTAGATAAAGAAAGGAGGATATCGTTACACTACAACATTGGGACATTTAATTATGTGAGATTTCATTACTCGATACGTATCATAGAAAAATATTCGTTTGGACTAATTAGAGTAGTGCGTGATCTAGTAGACTAATATTTTTGTAATGCCTGCCCAAAACCTTCACCTCGCAACTGTTAACGTTTGCATCGACTTTACGATCTTGATTCATTTTTGATTGCCATAATTTGCCTGAATGGCAGTGATTCAGGCACAATTTCGTCCAAGATTCAATTGTACGAACATGAGAAGAATTCAGTAGGTCTGGTAGCAGCGAAATTATGCCACTGACAACATGTACGGGCACACGGTGGGTTAAAAATAATGAGTTCTTGAGAGATACGTTAGCCTAGTCATAGCCGAGAACGCGGGCGAGCGAGTGAAAAATTTCCATTTCGCACGTACGACTTATTTTTACACGGCAAGTTCTTTTTTTTCCACCACAAACTACGCTGCGAACTGTAGCGTGATTTGGCGACCTCTGATACTGGAGATGCAACATTTTTTATTTTAACTGAGATCTTGTCGAGTTACGTGGTTAAAATAATTTATTTAATACGACCGATGCGATATTATGCATCTATGGACGTTTCTTAAAAATGTAATAAATCCTGTAATTTATATATACAAACAAACCAAGTTGCCAAAATTTAAATCTTACAACCTGATCTGAAGGTCTCACTATTTTTCTTTATATCTCCACAACTTAAATGGTTATACTATGAAATTTTCAAATCACAAATTTTCGACTTAAAACCTTTTTATCAAACATAAAAATGATATTATCGAAATTTGAAACGTTTCGTCGGTAGAGTAAAATTAAATTGTCTAAAGTAAGGACTTTCCCGAGGTCCAGTTGTTAATTTAATAAAATACCACTGTAACCTGGCCACGTTCCGTAAATAGGAGAAATCTTGGTATACGTTCAACTCGTTTTGTGTCATTTTTGCAGACGAAACTTTGAAGTGCTACATGTGCACTTCGTTCTCGCAACCGGGCTGTGACACTGATCCAAAGGCAAATAACATCGAACCCACCGAATGCACTCTGACACATATGGCCGACTGGCAACGGACCGTACTACAGCACAAAAGTTTGAGTACAATATCTCGCATCTTCGAAGTCGACACCTCGCACTCGTCGCAGCAGTACCAGGCTGTTGCACCCATGGCCTGCGCGAAACTGATCCTGAAACGTAAACCGTCTATTCATTATCTTTGAACAAACTAAACAGTCTTTTTAAGCTTAAAGTTAAGAAATTAAAAATATTTTACCTGCTGGAGCTTCCTATTTAGACGTTATTTCGTTTCAAGTATGTAGCATCTATTACAGAGTTGAATATATTTTATTTTGAATAAGGAATACAAATTCGAGGTTTATTCGTATGAATGAAAAAAAAAAATTAATCAAAACGGGCGTGATTGAGAAAATTCGGAAATTTCATTCCTTATCCAGAACAAAACTTACTCAACTCAGATCCGTTATTTATCTTTACATGACGTGTTGTTTTCGACGTGGACTCCTCCTCTAAATTCCACCCAGCCCTGGTTGGGTAAATGCTTCTTGTTAGCAAGAGTCAAATATCAGCGCTTATCGTTTTGCAAAGATTTCTAAATGCTCGAAACTTTTTGTTATCAGTGAACAAACAGGAGGTTACGGTGAGAAGCTGCCAGACAGCGAAGACGGAGACCATCGATCCTTGCAAAACGATACAAGGACAGTTCAATAACGACCTCATCAGTGTGGAGCACTGCGAGCTCTGTATGGAAGACGCTTGCAACAGCTCGATCGCCAATTCGGCCAGGATTCTTCTTGTTTTATTGTCGATGGTCGGCTCTGTAATCCTTGGCGCTCTTTACAACGGAGCGTAACCTTCGTGCACTGGTTTACAGAATTAATTGCGACCGCCATCGGAGACGTTCCACCAGAGATGGGCACAATTTTATTCGCGTAACGGATAACGAATAAAATTTAAGGCGTAGCAATCTATTCGTTTATTCAATTGTACAACTAAATTTGTATTCGTTGTGAAATATTTCATTTCACAAATCAAATTCTAATTAAAGAGTAAAGAATAAACAGTTCCTCTTTTCTTTCACAATTATTTGTCATTCGAAATTTTATTCGACTAACACGTCACTGATAAAAACACCATGCAACATTATAATTCTACTACAACTCCGCTTCACAACGTAGATTGTGAATTATTATGTAACAAGTAACGGATCGAAAGTTGTTTACCTTTTATTCGTTATTCGAAATCTTCGGCCAGATAAGAATTTTGCTCATCTCCGCGCGTTACGATCGTTCCACAGCGCATTCTTAAACTCGAACACCATATACACATTGTTCATCGATGTTCCACGTTGTTTCATGTTCACGAATTGCGCACTGCGAATACTTTTCTCTCTCTCTCTCTCTCTCTCTCTCTCTCTCTCTCTCTCTCTCTCTCGCTCTTTCTGTGTTATCAAACTGGAAATCGAGAACGAGTCTGACATTCTACGTTGTTATATTCTTCTTCGAAAGAAACTTTGTCTTTTGTACGTCTTTCTTAAGAGAAACGAGTTTCATTGAAATTTCTTCGTATATTTTTTTTTTTTTCGACGAACTTTGGAATTCCTGGCTCGAAGTAAACGGTTGGATTTTCGCGAAATCACCACGATAGGGAGGGAAATTTCTCGAGCAAACGTTAAGAAAAGACTTTGCAACGCAACATTCTGGTTAATTTGTTCGTTAAATTCGTTTCGGGACAGCTCGTATCTCGCCTTTCCTCGCGACGAATGAATGAAGCTCGTGAAATAATTACGAACGGATATGTGACCTATTCGATCTCGTTCGCGATTAGGGGCTGGGACTGTCGAATTCATCTGTATTCGATTATTCGAACACTGCAGGGATTCCAATACTTCACGAGTTTCGTTCGAATTGCGTTCAAATACTTTGGTATTCGTATAGTCTTTGTATTATATGAATTCTTCCTTATTCGAGAAATAATGTTCGAATGCTTTCTTAGTTGAATAGTCCTACTCATTTGAATACTCGAATACTTTCTTATTTGGACCACATCGATCTTATATATAATAAGAGTATTTGAATAGTGTCTTATTTAAATAATATTATTTCAATAATAATGTTCGAATAATAATATCAATACTCGAATGATATTATTTAAGTACTACCACTCGAATAGTAATACTCGAATGATAGTATTTAAATACTAACACTCAACTAGTAGTATTCGAATACTGGAATACTCCTAAAGTCTTCGAATATTTAATAATTTGATCAGTCCCAGCCCCGCTCGAGCCACGTTGTAGAAACTTTCTACGCCGAACTAAAGAAGGGGTCTATATATATGTGTAATAGGTGTATACAACGATCAAACATAATTATCGACGATCGCGCCATAGCGTGTCGCGACCATGTTCGCGTGTACGCGAGTTTGCAATGAAATATTTGAATATTATTGTACTTGTTAAAGTGCATTACGCGAATCGTTGGTTCGACCATGCGAGCGTAAATTTATTAAATACAATTATATACGTACATATGTGTGTTTGCGCAGACGGAACGGGCTTCAAAAATGTGACATTCGACCGAAGCATCTGCACAGTGAAATTATGCTATCGAGCTTCTCAAGGACAAATAAAATATTATTGCACGAAGATTATAATGAGCAATAAAATGTATATTGAAAGACCGAGGCGTATTGTCGTTGCAACGGTATCCATGCTTCCTTGATAGTTGACTCCAGAAGTGGAATCGCATTCGTTTTTCAAATAAATGTTTACGAAGTAGGATGTATTAAATATTCATAACAATTTCTATTTTTCTTTGCCAATAGTATGCCAATAGTTCGAACGATGGTATTGGAATGCATTCAACTAATTACATAAATATAATGCAACTAATTTATTTTTTTTAATTTAAATATGGCACAATATTTAAAATAAAAACGGCAAACTTTTTGAAACATTAATTTTATACAAAAAATATTCAACTACGATTCAATCGATTCATTGCAATTACGAGACGCAGAACACCAACACTGTAATATTTTTCACCGTCTTGACACCTCCAGCCGCATAGTAGTTCCTGATTTTATTGCGAGAGATAAGATAACAGCTAACGAGAAGATTTGTGAAGTAGATCTCAAAGTGGAACCACCATGGTTGGACAGTGCAGTTTAACGACAGCGATCGTTCTAATGAGTTTCGGTAAGTGAAGATTGTGAATTGTGATTGCTATTACCACCCTCATCCTCCCTCCTTCGAGAAATTAGTACACCAAGGTACGAATCCGTTTAATTTAATGGAGCTGTCAAACGTCTGCGTTCAACGAATTGATATCTCAGAATTGATTTCTGGAATCAAGTGAAATATTTGGCTATAGGACAATTTACAAATGTTCTTTAAATCTTAATGTATCTTGAAAGTCGATCCAAAATTGAAAAACAATTTCTTTCGTGCGCAAAGCTGCGTCACAGTAAACAAATAAATAGTCTGAAACTGGCGTGCGTAATATCGAAAGTGATGACGAAAGTGTCGAGGGTTTTCGTGCATGATTAAGAACAACGAATAGAGCCGGGAATCGTGTTGCAAAGTGGGGTTGTTATGGCGAAAGACGCTTAATGAGAAAAGTACCTCCGTTTTGGTTCTTACGGTAACTGTGTCGCATCTGAAGAAAGGGAGGAAACAACTCGTTAGATGTACTGTGTCTGGCAGAATGTTCTCTAAATGACGTTCTTCCATGTAACGCGGCTTCTCCTCGGGAAAGAAAATCTCATATATGCCCCAACTTATCTCGTTAAAGAAGTTATCGTGGACAATGATAAATTGGCGACGGTTGGTTTGCGTGGCTTTGAAGATAAAAATTTATAATGTTAAGAGAACTGGTTATGTATAATAAATACGATGACGGGGGATATAATTAGTTAAAGATTGTTTCCTTGGAGGAGTTTCAAGATCCTTGAATGTTGCTCGACAGGGTGCGCAAGAGGAGAGAGTTTATGGTGTTACGCCTGCAATACTGATTTAAGGGATGGTCACACGACGGAATGCAACGACCCTTACAACCCCACGCCACACTTCGACTTAGTCCTCTGTCCCCAAAACGACTCTCATCATTGTCTCAAAAGCCTCATTACTTGTACGTATAAACTAGAATTAACAAGGGAACTATCGGACGTACATTTTGATGTTCGCAGAGATTTTAATTGATCCAGCTTAAGAATTATCTAGTGCATCGTTATTGCTATTTTTTTATAGGAATTGCTTCAACTTCAACATTCTACTTTCACAAGAAAACATTAATTTACTAAAAGAAACACATTTGGACGATACACATTATTATATTATAGTACGATATGATATTATTTACTGATTTGAATAAAATCTCATTGGTCCCGTATGTAATTATAATTAAAAGGAATTGTTTAAAAAACATCATCGTCGAGAAACATTCCTAGGGAACTCGACCTCTGAATACTTCGAATCCGAATCACGCGATAACCGACAATTCCGTTCGCGGTATTAATTTTCATCAAATTTATGGCATCGAGTTTTTGCAATTAAAATGTTACCTTGAAAGTGACGTGGCGATGAAGCAACTATTTCCTTAATGATGCAGATAGGGACGTCCTAGTGACGGTGCGAGGTTGCGTGCCGTCACGCGAAATCGATGGATACTGCCAGCACGAGGAGTACTTCCCAAACTCCAGCATCACGTGTTCCTTTTGCAACGATTACGCTTGCAACGGTCAAGGATCCTACCATTTATTCGTGTCGCAACAGTTGGGACTCGTCCTGCTCCTAATCTCCGTATCCACGTTATTCGAGTAATTTCTTTAAGCAAAATAAAACATTAATTTATTAAAGGAATTATATTATTACGAATTATACAAATCCTGTGTACTGCGATCACATCGTAAAATATTCTACAAAATTGTATAAAATATAGATAATAAACTATTATTAATATAACGTCAAACATTTAAGGGTAAGTGTCAGGAAAATATTACCCATTTTTCCCCCAAACGAATAAAATAATGAAATTCCATTTTCTCAGCTTTCAAGTCGAACGTCTTCGTCGCACGAAAGGAAAGACGATGACGTCGAAACGACCGGAAATGGCTGTTGACATCCAAGGCAGAAATTAAATGGCTTTATGAATGAATAGGGAGAACATGCCCGGTTGGATGCGAGCTTTGCGTCGATGGTGGTGACTTTTAAATGCCGCACACGGAAACGTGTGTGCACGGATGCACGCGGGGCTCGCATGTGCGCGTATGTGGTCGTGGAGAAAGGGTCAAATGCTCGAGTCAATTCGGTAATGCCTTGAGGGGGTTAACTGGTCTCCTGACCCCTGCCAAGATCTCCTTAACGAGTCGGCAGGCCCCACTTTGTAATCCTGCGTTTAGAGATCTGTCAGCAATTCGTGTAATTCAAATTCAATTACTCTATCATCGGAACGAGTGGATGTATTCGAATATCAACAGGCCAATTTTGTTAAACAAACTAAATCTTACAAAAGACCACGCGTACACATCACCTACACTGCAAGCGTTACACTAAACCCGTCACCTCGAATATCTAACTCTAACCGAAAACAGATAACGCAGCTAACAAAAACTAATCGTCAAGACAATACACGATATAATTCATGCTCTAACAAACTCTGTACCCTTTGACTCTATCCCCACCACTTAAATTCCGATTCCAAAGTAACCCTATTCTTTCGTGCTCCCCTTTCGCCTATTTAATTCACTCCAAAGCCTGGAATCACGACTACCTTCAATCTTCCTCTGGCCGCAATCCGAAAAATCCTGTCGAACCGCACGAATGCGTAACTTCAGTTTCCAGCATACTCTGGTTTCCACCTCGAAAGATCCCAAGAGCGTTCTACGGGCCCGTAATTGTCCTAATGAGTCCAATGAGGGCCGCGTGCTCTGGCATCTCCCTCCCTCCGGCCGCAATTATTGTTTCGTCTCTTGCGTTCAGCTCAAGTAGGCTCCTTCGACTCGTTGTTTGCTCTTGACTCCTACTTCCTGGCGATTGCATCGTGCCGCGGAGGGGTTATGAGGTTATTAGGCACGACACGCGTTATTACGCTGGTCCACGTTAGCCGCGTGCCGTCGACGAGAGGAGTGGAGACGCAGCCAGGGAGAGGGAGCACAGGGGAATAAAGGAGAACGTGTGTACTCACGGCAAAAAGGGGGTGTTGCCTCTTCAGTATCGTGGTGAACACGTTCCGTGACGCTGGTCAGTTCCTTTCCGTCTAATTCCGAACGCCAGTGACATCACTCCTTGGAGCAACGAGCATCCGTGTTTGTTTTTGCGACCAGTCGCGACGAGCATCCATCGAATTCGACGACGAAAGCATCGAACTCTCCGTGTTCGCCCATCAGAATGTCCTCCAGGCTTGAATGGATGCTGCTAGCACTAGGGTTGGTCCTTCTCGCACGCTCAGGTGAGTTGACCTATGATACTTTCAGGAAATTCTGGGCCTTCTGAGGAGTTCTGAAAACGTTTACATTTTTCGGTCAGGTGATGTTATGCGTTGTTGTTCTAGACAAATCGAGTATTTTGATGAAACTTCTCAGGAGACAGCTGCTTCCTAATTTTCGATGTACTTTAAGCGCAATTTTGGAATTGGTAATGATATTCGAATACATGGTCTGATACTCAAATAATGATATTCGTATACCTATTTCATTATTTGAATAATTGTATTCGAATACTTAGTCCAATATTTTAATAACGACATTTACAGAATCGTATCGTCCACAAATTGTAAAACTATAATTCTCTAATAGAACTATTTCGTTAATACATGTTGTTGTTGAGGATTTTATAAAGTGTCAGAGGATTTAAGAATGCACGATTCAACGTAAGTCGAAATGACTCATTCAATAACCGGTTCGCTTGAGTATGAGCAAAGAAACCTAGGTACGTCATTTCTCTATTAAAATCTCCATTTGTATTGTCTTACTTGCTCCACTTATTATTCTTGTTACTGCTTGTTTTGTTGTCTCGTTATGCGATCGTTAATCGTTATCTTCTTATCAAACGTATTAAGCTAACTGTTCTACAATCTACTCATTATTAATTCGCGCAACAAATTACTTCAATACTTCAATTAGATATTGCAACGATGGAACATTAAATCTGCAAAATCAACAATTCAGTCGTTGTTCACGTTATCTCAGTTACTGAGCAATGGATAGGTTTGTTGAAATAAAAATAAATAATACAAAATAAAAATTCAACCACAATGAATATATCACATTGGAAATTCAAGCAAACGAATTAACATGACATAATTTTTTTATGACGATAGTCCAAACGAGATCAAACTCAAAACAAATTGCAACAGCTTGGATAAAATTCTGCGCACTGTTTGTATTTTTTTTTCCATAGTCGCATAACAATGTGGAATAATTTAATAACGAACGCGGAGTGTCTAGATGCCGATCTGATGCAATTTGTTACGTAATTACTCCGCTCTTATGAATTTCCGTGATCTGCGACACAAAGGGAAATGACTAATCTTTAAAGAACGAGATTCATTATGGTTAAATACAATCCTGAGAAAACATTCTGCATTGTTGCAGGAGCAATTCTTGCAGTAATTTCGCTACAAGAAATGCAACACTACGATTCTATGCTAAATCTTTGTAAACTATAAATATAAAAATAATATAGATATTTAGACGTATGCTCGAATCACATTAATTTGGAGATGCCGATACGGATATTATTGTGCTTGATGTATAAATTGATCATTTGTTATGTATTCGATAGGTGCGGCTTTAAGATGCTGGGACTGTGCGTCCAATACGAACGCTTTGTGCGGCGACCCAATGAATATCACGGAACATCAATCGACTTTCCGTACGAAAGTATGCGAGAGCAGCAACTATGATACAACGAAGCCCATATGCCGGAAAATCGTGAAGAGAGGTAAAAGAATTTCCGAACTGGCAGCCTTCTACTTGTTTACTTTCATAAAACTCAAACAATCGAATCGACGAAAACTTGAAAGATCTAATCTTTATTTATTACTCGACCATTCTTTTCGCTTTTTTGGGGACATGCATTCATTGGTGAATAGAAATCCTGATTTGTATAAATCACTATTTTTTCTGTAACGTCTACTTTTGCTAATAATATTCGCAAACCGAGGTTTCTTGCTACCAATCGCAAGTTAAGTAAGAGTAACAACAGGTTACTCGATTATGACCGATATCCTTATGTACAGTGGCGTATTTGAACGTTGCGTGAAATCATCGCAATGATTCAATAATGATCGTCTTTGAGCCGATCGTTGCGGCGCACAGTGTCGCGCCCGTGACTCACGGCACGCGCTTCTCTGCCATAATTGCGATAATTATGTGCTTGCCAAGGTCGGAACCACACCCGCATCAAAGAAAAATCACATGCCGGTGTAGGATCTCGAATATTGAGGTTAATCGTATTAACGTGACTGGAATTCTTGGATTACGACGCATGTTATGTTCAAAACAAGAGGTTCGTCGTGTGCATGATTCAGCTGATAATAATTATGCAACGTTTAGAAAAAAAGTATTCTTACCTAATCTGTTTACCGACAAGTAGCGCCTTGTATTATGGAGGCAAACATCCCGCAATTACTTGGACGTCATAGGCTTGGAGGAGCTGTGAAGAATGACCCTGAATGATGTTCACGATGGGAAAGAAACGTCATGATCGTTGATAATTGCCAATTAATGTCTCGCACGTCTGCAACATAAAAACCCGTAGATTATTACGATGTAAATGTAAGATATCTGTTTCTGATTTTTAAAATTTTGATTACAACGTAAATTGCAACAAAATTTAATCCAATGGTAAACCATAGTTTGCCTCCGAGATGTATATGCATATTGCCATGTGCTAACGGTACTGCTCGTGCTCGTTATTATTCTAGAGTTTCTGTAAACTATCACTGCAACGCATTATTAATCGTCGTACAAAAGAACCAGGTTTTATTCGCATGCACAATGCCATAATTACTTCCGGAGAATCTCGGTATACTTTGACTCACCAGCGTTACACAACCTGTTGCGCTATATCGTTCGAACAATACTCTATTCCTGTGCGAGCCAGAAACAAATCCCATTGCGCAGTCGATTGCGCATGTAAACCGGAAATCGTGAATGGGTCGTTCTGCGCCAAATCGGCGATAAGAATCCGTTTATACGATCAATTTCCGAGAAAGTAGTGCAACGATTGCGAACTTGATCGTCGTCTATTTTTTAAACAAATTAATACTCAAGAGTAGGAACTTGAATACTATTCAAATTACATCCAACTACAGGAGAAGTCGACGAGTAGTCCTAAATCGTATTCAACAGTAGGAATTACAGTGTCATCGACTCCCAAATTATCGATATAACTCTTTTTTTTTTCAGAAAATGGCGAACGAGTGGTGATCCGTCAGTGTTCAATCCCCAACGTCGACGAAGCAGACATAGTGAACGGCCCCTGCAGCGCAATGGCGATCTCAGGACGCAACATGATCGAATCCTGCCACATTTGCAGCACCGACCTCTGCAACTCGGCGACGAGTGCACCGATTATGTTACCTCTCTACGTCGTCGCGATGGCCGCTATCGGTTATCGTTTCTTCCAATCGAAGAACATCCTCTAATATCAATCCCCTTCGTGCACACAAAAACCCCTAAAAATGAGGGTATCGTTTTCAAAGCCAAAAGGGAAACTGTCAGAATCGTCGTGAGTTGAAACGCAATCAGCAGTACGTGAGTTTCTTTCCCAGTCTAGCAAAAATAAAACGTTCTTATGAGGATACACTTAAATACGTCTGCTCTGGGAATTCATATTACTCTTCTTATTTTATCTTTTCGTCATTTTAGTCCTCGAGCACGATTCCATTTGACTGTTTGAGGACTTAGTGGTCCTCAGCGTTTAGCGGTCAACCTTTCGCTGCATTCTGGTGCATACCTGCAACATTCGAATAATTGCTATTGCAGTAAATATGTTATACATTAAAGAAAATTGAAAACGTTTCCTAAATTTTACAAGGATTTTGAATTGTTACGCTATAGTTTTCGTCCATACAAAATTCCGATTTGTTGGATTAGATCTGAAGAAATGGGTGCAGCGAAGGGTTGCTAAAGATTGTTACCTCCTTCCCCACAGCGTTGCTTTCAATTTTCGTTGTCGCGCACGACGTTGCATTAAGACGGTTCCAAAGTGGTGACTATCGAACACGTTAGCGTTTTATAGTTAGATACCTCGTTAGCCGTGGTACTAAATAGACCATTCGACGCGCGTTTCACCTAGTTACGCTAACGCGCTGAAAGCTTTACTTAATTTAATCGTCCCGCGTAACGATCTACGATAGTTTCGTTAAAAAGGAAAACACGGTTCCAAATGAGATGATTATTTTTGTACCATATATTGTGTATATAGATCCGACAGGTCGGTGACGTGGTTGTACGATAAAGGGAAACTGTTCATTTGAATTTGCCACGTCACCATTCATGTTACTCTTGATTGAACGAGGCGGGGTTCTGGATCATTGGCTCGTGAAATGAGTCACTTTCAGGAGTGATTGTTTGAGGGCGAAAAAATATTGGAGGATATTCAAATTCGTCACTGTTATTCGGTAACGTTGTGACTGTGATATAAATTTAAATTGGAAAAAAATTTTAATTTTTCTTGTAAACGAACTCAGAGCTCTGCCTTAATACGCGTTTAAAACCGCACGCTATTGTAGATAGTGCCCTTTCCTCCTTTTATTCTAAGCTCTCTCCCTCTCTCTCTCTCTCTCCCCTCTCTCTCTTTGTCTTTCTCTCTCGCTCCATTATTTCTTGTATTGCGAAATTACTTTAAAAGGCAAAAGCAAGCGGAAAATGTAGCTTATCAGGTATCCGTCCAACGCTTAGAAAAACGCGAAATTTTTTTCCATGATACTTCGTGGCCAGCGAATGTCTGCGTTTCGTTTAAGTAGCGTTTCGTTGTAATTTTTGTTACTTTTTCAGAAAATTCATCAATTTTTAGTAGTTGTAGATTAGGTGTTTGTCTGCGAATAAATTGCTTTGTTGCTATGTTTTTTTTTTCTCCCTTAGAGTAGAGCAGGATCGCCGCGATATGTACTTTGTAAAACCGATTAAATTTATTATATATAATATATGTATATGTATATCTGAATCGAAATGTTTCTCGTAATTTTCGGATGTGTCTTTACTTTTTACCCACTTAAAAAAATTATTTCAATTGGTTACTAGTTTTCTTAAGAGCAATAATAATAACAGTATGTACATTGTATATTTTTATTTAAATATGAAACCTTTAAAAGAGACAAAATATCGTATTCGTTAAAAGAATTGTTGGGATAGGATAAAATTATAGAAAAGATTAATGAGAAACTAATTTATAGCAGTAACAGTAACGTAATTCTATTCCTTAAAATAATTAAAAAAATGTGCTATTCGAAAGCATATTTTTCTAAAACCTAAGGTATTTATTCTATACTTCTCGTTTACATGAACGTCTGTATAAAAAAAATATTATTCTTACCTTTATTTTTTACTTAATTGCTTACCTATGAAAATTATTTCAATTATTACTTAACGCGTTAGAGAAATGCTTGTAATTAGAACGGGGGCGTTTCCTCGATATTTTGAAGCAGCATACTCTATAAATAACAGATTCAAGCACGGAAGTGTGTCGAAACTAGCCTAAGGTAAGGGCGGACTTCAACTCTTTCTTGTTTAAAGTTTCAGAAATTCAAACAAAACTGCTATTACCATCATAAACGAATTTCATTTTCTGAAACCAGTTAATATTATTTTTAAGGAGTGCAATGTTTATAAACGGTGTATCCTTATTTACATTTTGCATGAATTAAATTTGAATATGCTTCTTTTTAACGAAAAGAACCCAGATCGCTAGCATTCTCTTGTTAATCTTTCCCATGACGTAAATATAAGTTTCCTTTGAACGAAAAGAACCCAAATGATTAATGTTCCCGATTCATATTTTACAAGATCGAAACATAAGTGTTTCTCTCGACTTTAAAGATACCACTTCGTTCTGACGTAGTTCTTCATCGATCCATCCTTGAAGTTGAAGTACCCATGCGTACCCCCTTAATAAAACGTCACTGTAAGGGATCACGAATGCCGGGGAGGCTAACAAAACAGCATTTGGATGAAATTCAATTCCCTTTCACGCGCACGCTACGCGAACGGAAATACTAAACCGATCCGCGATTCGACGGAAGTCCCGATCCGTGCACGGCACTGCAGTCTCCCCACCTTCGTGACTGCAATTGAATTTCAAATACAACGACGTAGTCCTAGGAAACGCTCAGACTCCTGAGAAATCATTTCAATTTCGACTACTCGAGGCGGAAAATTTGTTAGCGAGCGGATCGCATCTGCAGACGCAGCAGGAGGGAAAGAGGAACCAGTCCATGAAGATCCCCTTGCAGTCGTTATCAGGGTCGTAAGCGAGCAGTCTGTGCCATTTGTACTTTTGCTCGCAGCCACAGTCCACGCTGCAACGATTCGTCTTTGTTTTCCTGAAACAGGAACGTTCCTTTCTTGCAGTTCGCCTGTTTGCAATTTTATTGACTCTTATCCTTTCGGTTTCTTATTGATGTACGTTCCTTATTCGCAAAAATTTGTGGAAATGCTTCGAATAAATTTGATAGAGAATTAAATTTCACGTAGAAAAGTTAAATACAGTTTTTCTCTATCGCCTCTGATAACGGAACAATTAAATTAAATCTGTGATTATTTTATATTCTGCATCATTAGTTTACCAATTTACACTTACGAGCAAACCTCTTGGTGAATGGCCTGTTCGAAGTGTTGAGTATTCACGATGGCACGAATTTTGCCTGCGCTATTGCTGGCCCAGTATGGCGTCACGATCTCCACTTTTGATTCACATGCATCGACTCTGAAAAAAAGAAGAATTTTTAATATATATCTATTTTTATAAATGACTGAATATATGTCTGTTCATCCGTAGCAATGTGAGACAGCAAAAACCAAGAAAGTTTGAAAATTATGTACCTTCCGCTCTCATTTCGATTCTTTCCAGGCGACTGTCTCGGATTCCTGGTCTTCCTGACGTTACCGAATAACGAGTCACCATTAACCTCGATATCCGGATCCAAGGGGTCCTGGAAACTAGGACCACCGTCCGGGATGTCGTCCTCCCCAGCTTCCCTGCTTTTTCTTCTTCTACGCGTTCGATGGCCGGGTTCACGCGTCGTTGAACCATATCCCGAGCTCATCTCAAAGTCACCGTACATCCTCTTCATCAACGCTTTATTTTCGTCGATAAAACGCTCTATCCGTTCTCTGAAAGCAGCATATCGTTCCACCCATTTTTACTGAAACTCTTCCTTACGAAGTTTACCAGAAAAAAGAAAGCTTTTGGAAAAACCTAATACATCGGTATGTCAACGTAAGAAAATTATGTAAAGCATTGTTGTAATTTTATTACGACTATTACATCGGATATGCATTTCCAGCAGTTGGACAGAAGAGCTGATGGTTTTTTTTAATGCATGGAACGCCACGTATCAAGTCCCCTCTCAATTCCACTCCCAGAGCAACAGAGAGGGCGGTCCAGAGAATCTGCAACAAAGATACAAGATATTTCGTTAAAAATTTTCCATTCGTGTGAGAAAATTTGCTCATCTCGTCGTATGCATAGCGATACCGAAAGCACCGCGAGACGAGAAAGTAAGAGTTTAAGATAAGAAGCATCGTGGATAACAGAAAAACGCTCGAGGGGGGTTCTCAGAGATAAACCAGTGACAAAGTTGCGATAAGTTAGTGGAAAATTACGGGAGCTGTGGAAACGCGGGGCATGCAGGAAAGGATCCTTGATAAAACGATCCTTGGCTACGGATGAACGATCGATATCGAGCAAACCGCGCCTCGACGGTGCCCAAGGCGTACGTGACCGTTTGGAACTGTATTTGCACTGTACACGCGAGGCGAACGATGCCAAAGAACCAACGTGCATGCACAATTGCACACACATAACCCGTGGAACCGATCGAACGTGAAGCGATACCTTCGACCAAACACTGGGTTCAATCGCGCCCACGCGGTATATGAGTCTGATAAGAGACCCAGCAGGTATTTTAACATTTTTCCAGTCTCGAACGAGATACTGTTTATTTTACGTTTCAACGCGTTGCTTTGGTGTCACCTGTGCACGTTGCAGTTGAATTCACTTAATTGAAATTTAAAGAATTTGCCGTTGTATGAATTAAATTGTGAGGAATTTATTGAATTAATACGCGAAGAGATGTAATTGTCTAGCAGGTTGATGAACAAGGTTATTCTTCGCGTTACTAATGAAATTATCAATTTATTCATTAGACACGAAAAGGATTTATCAAATTAAAATTCAAGAATTTGCTCTTACATAAATTAATATATGACGAATTTATTGAATTATTAGAATTAATAGAAAGACGTAGCGATTCCTTTCATGAAAAAAATTGTGACCAACCAAACTGGTTGACAAATATTATTTTTCTTACGAGTAAAGAACAATTTCTTTGAAAATTATGTGATTATCAAGGACTGAGAACAAATAGAATCAATTCACGAATTTAATCATTAATACAGATGTAATTGTCAAAACTTTTGCAAGAGTAGAAATGACATTATTAAGGCTGTCATGAAACTCGCAGATTCCGTTTGAAGGCTTCATTCAAGTAATATTTGAATAGCGTGAGAGCTGTAGGGTCAGCCAAGCGCGTGGGTTGGTTACCTGAAATGGGCTGCACCGCCGTTGTTAACAGCTCATTATGTCAATTATGAAACTCCGTCTCTAGGAATAACCTTCTTTTGTAGACGAAGCGTCAAGAAATGCTTCTTCACATTTTTTTTTTGCAGATTTTTCAACATCGGTATAATCTATTTTCTATCGAATAGAAACAAAATTTGTAAGCATTTCTGTATTTCTTGAACAAATTATTATTCGATTCAGTTTTGAATATGGAATCATCCTGTTTAACAATGTATCGTGAATTACGGAACACCGTGTATAAGAAGCGGTTTACCAACGTAGCCAGGCACCCACGATCGACCGCAAGGACGTTTCCAACGAGGAAATAATTGTTTTGTAGGAAGACTGACACGGCGGTTAATGCTGGACTCGAAAGGGTAATTGGAATTGGCACTGGCCCTATGTGCTAAAGTGTCGTTTCAAAATTAATTCTGGAATACCATATATCTGGTGCTGTGCGTTACATTGTTAATTTGAAAGTATTTCCTGAATAAGTGTCTCTGGTTCTCCATGTTAAATCGTAACTTTAAACAAATTTTTGAGCGAATTTGTCTGCTATTACATAATAAATTTTTTCTTTAAAAATAACAATGTATCACATGTTTCCTGTATATTTCAATCCGATGCACTGTCACGTTGACGATTTCAATATTCAACATAACGTAGACGATTTCAATATTACACAGCACCTAACCGATGTTCGCTGTTGCAAACTATCATAGAGGTCATCATGCATCGTTCGCGGTCAACGTCGCGAACATTCACGCAATTGCGGAATTTCCTATAACCGGAAGTCGGCTCGGTTAACGATACGTCTACCTACACACACGTGTCTCCGTGACAGCCGTCGGTAGGCGTCATTCACCGGCTCGACTCGTTCGAGACCGTTCGCATACGCGATAAAAGTATGACCGATGGATTGCCCGCCAGAAATGAATCACGCTGCTTGGCCACGCGAGTCAATCGCAGTCTCTAGTATGAATTGAATGCAGAGATTAACTCGCATCTGTCTTATCACTTAAATAGAGTAATAACGTCAGTTCCTAATTGATTTACTGACATTTTAATTCGCTATTGTTAGATGAGTTGGTAGATCAATTTTTCAGTTAAACTTTGAACTAGAAATGGGACAAAAATTAATGCCGTTTATTCAGGATTAACCACCACTGTTTCCTGAATATTAAAATATTTGAAAGTATTCACATAATGGAATATTGGAGTAGTCCCAGGTTTGAATAGATGTCACGATTTATTTTCTCTGGGCCTGGTGGGAACCATCCAACAGAATATCCAAGTGAAAGAAATCGATCATGCTATCGATCTTACATCACATCGAACGAACCCGTAAACGTGATAGTCATAAAACCGTCCGACGAGGTTTATCCTCAACGGATTTTGCAAGAGTCGTCATAAAATTAAATGAATTTGCTCGATGTAATTCAGATTTAACGACCTTATAATACACTTCGATAAAAAGCGGTCGTTCACTGAAACGAACGTCTTTTAATCCATCGAAAAACTGCCGAGCTTCGAGGTCGAGCAAATCCCTCGCGTTGCGACAGTATTTCATTTGAAAAGAAAGAAATTATCGGACAGAAAAATTCAAATGTATTTGAAACTTATGCTGGGAAAGAAGCCTCTCCTTGCGACATCGTCAGGATTATGGCAATCTCATCAACGAGCATATCGAAGACGTAACGATGCTCCTTACACTAATCCGTTCTTATAATTACTATCCGACAACTGGCCCCGAGGCGAACGTATGTTTCTTCCGTCGTTTTACTGGAGTGGAATAGTTGTAACGGACGTGGGTCATTTAACGAAGTACAGAATTCGAAAAGTATTCGAACAGTATTAAGGAATGCCACCAAATGCCGTTCGATTAATATTTACCAAATATTTGAATAACGATAATGAAAATAATGAACCGTATCACACTCCTCGAATACTATAATTTCCCAGCTTTTCGATCACTGGAGGCTCGGATTGATTCGTCAGGGAATAATCTCGGTAGCCATTACGGGTCCTCCCCGACATCCGAGTGAAGACGACAATCACGTTCAGCGGCTGGTGAAAGGAGCAATCATTGGCGCGAAACAGTTTCTAAGCACGGACCGACATTGAACCGATTAAACGATCTCTGGCGCTAATGGGAATCAATGGCCACGCGTATTTCGTAATCGTTTGCGACGCCGTTTTCGATTCCGTGGTTATTTACTACGGAGGAAACATCTCGGCGTAGTCGTCGACGAACGAACACTTTCCCGCCTCGTGATTTTGGATTCAGCCAGGGTCCGCGGATGGAATAACAAAATGTAGCGCGAGGTTTCGTCCTGAATTATGATGTAACGGATATTTCGTTCGCGACGTAACAAGTGAAATGTGATGAAAAATTGCTGGTACCGAGCGGAGTCTATATTTTCTATGTGCCAGGTCACGTTGAATTTTCTTATTCGTGCGCGATCGTCTCGATAGCCCGATCGAGGAATATTTTATCAGCGTCAGCTTCCGTGTCGTTCCCTCGAGTGGAAACGTTTAAATACACCAGAAAACGAAACTTCTTAATATGCTAATAGATGTTATTGGGATTTGCATGCTATTGCGTGTAATTACGACTGGTCACGCACGATAAACTGTGGGGGACTGACATACATACACTACCAGCCAAGAGTATGGAAGCCTTACGATGGAAACGAGACTCTTTCCACCAGTTATTCATTGAATTAACAATATACAATTTCAGTTTTGTTAGAAATCAGGAATATTCAGGAGTAATGAAGTTGTATTTGAATGATATGCACGTACTGTTCAAATATTATTCAAACCGTATGCTAATTAAAGAATGTCATCGTATAGTACTCAAGTTGTATGATAATTTATCGAATAATAATTAACTCGATGATTCATACGCGATAATGACAATTTGACACAGAATCGAAACGATTGTATCGAACATTAACGAACATCGTGAGAAAAGCAGAGTGTTCGTGCATCTCAGAAATCATTTTCCACCCACTGGAAACACTAAGCTAACGGTTAGGCAATTAACGGGACGTTTACGATTGCGTTACTGTATACAAATGAAGTATCTGGTACGGCAGCTAGCGATCATCGCAGAACAATTGCTAATTAGGAGTAATTTAATGCAGACAGAGGCCAAGTGTCGCGAAATTAATGTTTTCCTGAAAGAAGCCAGGCGATCTCATACTTTTGGTTGGTAGTGTATGTAGGTACACGCGTGATCCCGTTCTCGTGTTTTCAATATTGTGCTATTGTACGCGATTGTTATCCCTGGTAATGTAATCGGATCGAGTAATCGTAATTATACGTTAATGTTAATAATGTGGTTATATATTGAGCGAGATATGTTTACCATTTAAAACGTTCACGTAAGCAAAAATATCGATATTCGTGAGGCATTAAATACCTACCAGGTAAAATAATAAAATAATAAGTATGCGACCACAATATTTGTTTCTTACGTAAACGTTTTAAATTGTATGCTTATATCTTGATTATAGTGTATCAAGAATTACGTACTATAATATATAATATTATTTTTTTTTTTAATTTCTTCCGCGATCTTAGTGGTCGTTGAGGTCAAAGGGTTACCGTCTCAATGCCAGCGTCCCGATTGACCTCTGGCTGCGATGTCGTGCCAGGAATTCTTTTCCGTGGCGCACGAATCCACCAACAGCGAGAAATAAACGACGACAATGGTAAAAGGCGACACGAGCGAAACACCTGGGCAAGCGTAACCGAGGCACACCGTGTGCACACAGCTGATCGTACGTTTCGCGAGATTCTAGGGAAGATACTCGGGGTCACGGGTGCTGCGAGGAAATGTCACGACGGTGATATAGACTTTGAACGTTCCTGTAGCCACGGCCGCGTTCGATCACCTTTCGAACGATCCTCGAACGTGTGCCATGGTCTTTCAAGTACGAGACTACGGTTGCGACGTATCTCTTCGGGGAACATAAATATCGACCAACAGGAGTCCTGTATCCAGCTGTCGCTAGATGCCACCAGAGCTTGGGACCCGCTCGGTTTGTTCGCTACGAGGATACTCGATACTCCGTTACCACGGGTACAATTCGAATATGTTAGTATTTGAATATTCCCATTCGAATGTCGCTACGTGAATGCCTACTCGAACATCGGTATCAATTTTATTACGTTTTCGCGTACTTGTGAACTTTCGGTATACCAGCAACCTGGAAACTTGTTGTTTCATAGAATCTTTGAATCTCCACAATTTTACTAATTTTTATGTGCGAACTTATTAAACTTGTGAATCTACAACCTTATACAATTCTAAACTTGTGAACTTGTAAACTTACAAGCATATAAACATATAAACATATAAACTTGCAAACTTGTTTCCTAAACGACATTTTCGGATGATTCGGTGGAAGTTCCCGAACGCGAACGAGATCTGGAAACACAGGAACCAGCATTGACGAAATCTACTTGTATATTCCACGATCGGAGCTCGTGTGCGAATAACTCGGTATACTTTCTACTCGCAATTCTTCCGCTTCAATAGCCTATGAGTCACGCCATTGTTACTCAGCATTTGTAAGAATTGCATGAACAATATAGCGCTAAAGAATCCACAGTGTCACGGGCTCTAAGCGATTGCAATTACCGCTGGTGCGTATGTGCGTAGAATCTCAAGTTAATATCACACTCGAGGAGTCAGTTTACATACACCTAATGGGAATACGCGAATGGCAGTTAATTGCTATTACGTCGTCGCGCGGATTCACGGAGCCAGCGGATGTAGCTATTTATTCTTGACGAATTCGAACGTTAAGGAATCGGATAGGAATCGAAATATATTGTTTTTTATTTTAAATAAAGTAAAGAGAAATTTCGATGAAGCGCAGAAATTCTCGTTTCGTTTTAGAGGTGGGTTGGGCACCTTTCAAAAAGTTTGGAAACGATGACGCAAGGTATCTCGTGAAAGGGCGCTCTCATTTTTGGCGTTCAGTTTCTGAGATATCGGTTGATGGATCGGTCGACGATTAATGGTTCATTTACCGAAAGTGAAACTTACATAAACCACGGGAACGTTTAAACACGCATAATCGTTCGAATTGCACCTCCAAGCATGCCGCCAGACGTTGCTTCGACGATGGGACGCAGAGATATCGAAAGTTCTAATGTCGTTGCAGACTTACCGGTATTTGCACGAACGTGCCATTGTTTAGCTGAGGGTAAGAGTACAATGGCACCACGGGAACCGAGCCATTTTTCAGAAAAATTGGACCTTGAATGGGCGTGACGTGAGCGTCTCTTGGTATTTCTTGGTCGTCGTCGTCGTAGTAGTCGTCGAAATCGTCGTCGTAATCCAGGACAGCGTGGACCGAGGTCTTGGCGCCTGAACTACCGCCTTCTCCGTGGACTCTGGTGTATCTTTGACAAAGTAAATTATCCATTCTTTGAGTAACAGTACAGATTGAATGAAAATTGTACGATTCAACCTCTACCTTTTTCGGGAAATGGTCAAATTTATTTAGAATTCGGATTTTTCGGCGATTCGACCATTCGACGAATATAATTTAAATACTACAGTAGTAGTTGAGTACTACTCGAATATTGAAGATCAGAACTTGAAAAAGTAAAAAATTGGAGCACTTTTCTCCGCCAATGGAACAAGGAATTCCAGGTGCTTATTGTCAACGTTGATACATAACGGAGGGTAGGTATCGATCACGAAAAACGATGATCTTCAACGATGATTAACCGTCGTTTGCACAAAAACAACGGTGCGCGGATGAACGTGACACATTCGTACGAATAACTCGCGTCTGAAATAAATGATGTGTGACGAAAGAAACGACATTGTGCGGATCGATGACATAATTGACCGCACACGAGAACGGGAATCCGCGAACGAGTAACGTCAGACGATCGTCAGAAATTCATTAGGAATGCGTGGCACGCAAGAAGAAACCGTTCGACGGATCGTTACATAAATAATTGCGAGCTCGATTAAACGCTACTGTGCGAACCACTTTCGCTGCTCCGCGAACGAGGATTTTATCGAAACTCTGATCGGATGCATCGATAGAACCAGATATTAAATTGTCTGAAAAATTAACTGACAATATTACGAGCGTCTCATGATGTTGACGCACGTATATGGAAACACGGAGAATTATTAAAACAATTAAATTAAGCCAAATGCGACTAGGCAAAAATTACAAAGTGCAACGTACTGTAGTTTTTAAACAAATTCGAAATCAACAAAATGATGATTTAAACTACCCTTAAATCTACCGTGGAGTACATTGTAATCCAGTTTCACATAATTCTTTATGAAGTAGACGCGTTATTCTTCGCCAACTTTTAATTCAAGGCCATTTGAAGGTAACCATGCGATTACAGGCTCTTGAACTTTTTTCGGCGACAGTTACAACATCGTACACGATGAAAATATGTAATCCTGTTGAAAAAACAAGAACTGGAAACGGATTATGGATTACATGGTCGGAATGCTTACGTGATTGGCAGATATATGAGTTAATCGTACAATGACCGGAAGACCGAATATCCTGTATTGTCGCAACGTGACATTCTGAGAACACATATTTCGAATGATGTTCGTAAGTATTCGTTTATATCGGTCGTTTTGCGATATAATTTCGGCCAACATCGAAATTATTCATACATTAAACATACAGACTGCATTCGTATCCACTTAAACGTTGTTCCGAGAAATATTCACCCGTTCGGTCTCTCAGGATAACTCTCCTGTTCAGGCGTCCTAGATGTCCTGAGATCGTCTTGATCCCTCTCCCCTTGAACTCGTTGTTGCTGTGGCTGTTGCGGTTGGTGCGGTTGTTGCAGTTGCTGCTGCTGCGGCGGCGACGGTCTCATTTGCTGTTGCTGCCTCGGCTGGGTCCTCCGAAAATCCTGATTGTAATTCGCGTACCTAGTGTCCTGCGTCGAGGAGAAGGACGAGTGCTCAACGAACGGGTTCGTGCTCGTCTGCCGATTGAACGATGGCTGTTGTCTTTGTTGTTGGTAGCCGGCGGGCGGTATGTACGGTTCATTTTGGAAGGATTCGCGTTCGTTGAAGTTTATGGCTGGTGCCGGCGGAAGTACCGCGTTCAAACGGAGGTTGTTCGCTGGCGTGTGTCCTCCGTTCTGACCACCGTAGAAAAATGGCGTGGGCGTCGCCGACTGATACGGCAAGGTGAAATTGGCCAGCGACATGTCTACCGTTGCGTCTGCAAAAAAATGTGAAAAATAAAAATAGAAGAGGATCGATTATTTAAAAGAATTCGATACATAATCGTCCGTGTGAATTGATATATTCGACTATTCATTTAATATGTTTCATTTTTTGCGGGATGAAAAATTGGTGAACCGAATTTAGGTACCATGGTGTCCCATCTATGGTTTACGAGTTTCTTCTCTGTCGTTCGACGTGACGGAAGATGATCGATGCTCGAAACATTTTCTGATTATTCGGAACTCGAATTATTCGAACTTTCCCGACATACCGGAGCCGCGATTACTTGGACGTGATTAATGACTGCTTCCTTTCCTTTTTATTTATACGATCGCGGGGAGTCGCTACTTCGCGCAAACGTCACCGAGGTGGACATTAATCATTGATTAAGGTATGGTTATTTGTTGGTATATAAACAGCAACTTCATTTCAGCTTTCTTGCGGTCCGAGCAATAACGATTATCTAACGCATTATCGGTGATTAATAGGGGAGCAATAAATCTGAAAGAATTCGGTACTTAATCGTCTGTGTGAATTCATGTATTTCACTGTGGATGAATTTGATACGCTATTCATTCTGTAATAATTATACTGTCGAACAAGTATAAAAATTGCAACCAGTCCTAGCGTCGTCTAGTATCAAGGCCCTCCTCAGTGGTCCAAATGAATCTAATAAATCATATTTAACTATAATTCCAAGAAGAATACTTTTCTTACTAATTTACTTTATTTCGTTTCAAATCTACTTAAAAAATAACAAGGGATCATGGCACAACCGAGGGGCTCGACGAAAGAAATCATGAGAACGCGTTGGCGTTGTTCGTACACGCGCGTGGACCACGTGTCACCGGAAGAATATTCATGGAATACCAAAGCGACGACGATTGCGCATGTCTACCCGCGTATCGATAAAATTCGTCCATGGCCGAACGAGTTTGGTCGTTCGTCACTTTCGCCCGCCGAATTGCTTTCTTCGACGACGGGTATGCAAAACGAGCTTTCACCGAAAACGAACTCGAGTACCCTCTGCCCCCCTCGCTGGAAACGACTACCTGCTGCTCGGATACGTAACATCATGAGCAGAAAAAACATGTATTCAGGGACCCCGATTTAAACGGGCCCACAAAGTCAATGTTCCAAAAATCTCTCTCGTTTTATTTGTGTATTATTTTCTCACGATCCAGGGGATGACAACCCGCCCTCGTCCTTCCAACATCCTGCACAGGACGAAAGCCTACCTGGCTCAACGATCCATTCTCCTGCGCGAGCCTTCACGCAGGGCTGGTCAGGTTCAGCTTCAGCGGAAGCACGGATCACTCACGCACCGAAACAAAAAAATCTCGGTCCCTTTTGCTTTCACTCTCGACGTCTCCAGCGAATGCGAGCCTTCGAAGTCGAGGATCGCGAATGGTGCGCGATAATTGTCGCCTAGCGATCCACGAAACGAATTCTTCGGGACCAACACTCGCCGAGGACGGAACGACACGTGCTCCTGAGCGAATCGCGAGCTCGCTCGTTGAAATCGCCGGGACGCGCGAAACGTTACGTTGGCGAGCGACAACTGAAAGAGACGCGTTTTAACCGCGTGCACGGAATGGGGATAAAAGAGAGGTGTCCCTCGATCATGAAGAGTAGCGCGACCCGTGGGTTCTCTCTCACTTTCCGCTCTTTCGACGGCCCCCCACTTTGATGTTGGTGCCCCCCACCTGGCGATACCGATCGTCGCTGTACCTTTTTCTCTTGAGAGATCGCGCGGCTGAACGACGCCGCTGGGCCCGAATTTAGTCCCATTAAAACACTGTCCAAAAGCGGATTCAGTGTTTTGAATTTTTTAAGAGGCTATTCTAGTCTAGAACCCTCGGGAAATCTATTTCTTCTTTTCTCAGTGGTATATTATCAATGCATGGATTTTTAGAAATGTATCTGACAGAGGACTTTGTTGAATTCCAGTTGAAAAATGTATATATTATACGAATAGTATAACGATATATACATTTACGTTGAATTCGCTTTTACAGGAAAGTGAAGAAAGAAGTCAACGTTGAACTGTATCGCAACGGGCAATTATTGCGCTCCCATCACGTGGCCAGAGTCGTTCTTCTCGTCTTTTTTCATCCTCGCGCGGTTCTTTTCTACCGAGCGACATTTTTCTCATCTTCGGAGTGCCTTCTCCGCTCGGATCCCTACATGCTCGCTCCGGAACCTTTCATTTCGTTGCACGTGGAGCGCTATAACTGTATCGGAATCTTCTGGAGGTCCACCTACATTCACCTTCTTCATTGGGGAGCGCTGTACCTTGATCCATGGATCCCAATGGTCTTTGCCAGCCTTCCAGCGTTTTCAGCCAGCGAAAGACCACGGAGAGAAATTGTTTACAGATCTTAAATTATGCGCGCAATTTTCGCTTCGAGTATGTGCCGAGTGGTTTTACTACAAAAATGGAACCACAATGGAAATGGAAACGTGAATACATAATTTAGGAGCTTTCTAAGTGAAGTACCGGAATATTGTTTCTTTTATAGAAAATAATATAATATCAGTCTTCAAACATGGATGGTGTCTAACTACTATATTGCATTTAAAATATAGTGCCAAATGTAATAAGCTACTCGATGGTTCTCAATCAGAAGTGAGGTCAGGTGGCAATTTTATAATCTCACTCTATTAAACCATGCGATTTGCATAAACGTTCGTGGTCTACTGGTTACGCAAACGAAACAGGACGCGATCCAAAAAACAAAATCGATAAGATTAACGACGTCGAGACGCGTGTCCGTGAATCGATCACTTTTGTAATTACTGTCCCCAGCGATAGCATATCGAAAGGGAGGAAGGCCAATCGCGTGGTGGATTTCGGAGCGTGCTGGCGAGAGCACGATCGATAAGAATCGATCCGTTGATCGACGAACTTCCTGTCGATTCCTGCTCCACCCACTCGACAAGGACTTTGTCTGCCTGAGGCGTAGCTATCTGTTGCAGGAAGCCGCGAGCCTGCATGCGGAAAAAAAAAACGATCATTAATCGATCACGTGTTACTTTATCGATCTGGTAACCATTTAACCACTCGATCGTTACACGAGTCCTGTAACGAAATGTTTTGCTTGACAAATTTTGCGAGATTACGTGCTCGATACTAACAAAGGATATTTGACGATCGACGCACGTCGAAAAGTTTGAATTTTTGCGTGCTAGATGGACTAATCATAGTGCCCTTTTTCGACATTTCATTTCGTTATTTATTCATTAAAATTCAAACATTTGCGAAACGTCCCGATATCATTGAAAGCGAGGAGAGAAATGTTCGAGCCGATTTTATGCAACGCAAGCGTGTGACGTAGTTGCGACATTGCTTCTTAACAATCGAAAGTAGAATTAGCAACTGAAGCACAGCTGCAGACCACCCTGATCGCCAACGTTATACCGTTAACTCCGCCGTTAGATGCGAGGTAATAGATAAAGCGGTCTCTCGAGTAATTACACGCGACGGTAATTTGTCTTTGAGGAATTCAATTTCAATAGTTCGACCAATTGTCGGGCACAAAGTGGCTGGGGGCTTAAGAATTTTGAGGAAATCGATGATCGTTAAGTTGCTATTGTTAGATATTTCAGTGAATTATCGCTCACCGGTCCTGATTATTTGATCGTCCAATGATTTATTGCTAGTAGGAATGTCAGCAGTTTGTTGGGGCCCACTGGTCCCTCTGTAGCTCGGGTACCTCGGGATTGCTAACCCCGTACTGTAGCTCAAGCATAGCTACAGCCCCCGAGGGCGTAAACAGGTTTTAATTCTGAGTAAGAAATTCGCAGCACAAAAAGCAACTAAAAAAAAAATAAAAATTCATTATGGATTGGACGAAAGTAGCAGAAGTTATAGAGAAATCACAAACACGCAAGTTCTAATCGTGAATAGGTATCTGGAGTGACGCAAGACGAAAAGGGTGAGCGGGAGAAAAAAAATGATCGAGAACTACTGCATTAGAGTGTTAGCTCAGCGGATCCTGAGGTAGCAACAATGCGGCAATAAAACACGATCGTGAATGCAGTATGCGTCAAGTGCATCGAAAACGCTCTAACCAAGAACGTGCACGCCGCGTGAATGGACACACGCCAGTGAACCCGAAGAAAAGACTGACAATGAAAGGGGGTCAGATCCATGCCACACGCGCAATACGGAATAATTTTGCCCTGTTTACCACTGAACTTCCTATTGTCCATTCGACTTGTAATTAAATCCGCGATAAAGCCGCGCGATACCGAACTAGTCCAGTCGTGGGATCGGGAAACAAGAAAATTGAGCAAAGTCGAGCCTTTCCATGAAGCATCTTATAGAACGGGGACGAGGAATCTTGAAGAGCTAACGTATAAGACTCGGATACTCAAATATTCAAGTACTGGTATTCGAGTACCTACAAAATTATTATCAATCCTAAAAATCAAATGGTGGCGACGGTAAAATTCATCGAAAGTTTCGCAACCGATATTGTCGTTTCTTCCGATAGTTAACGCGATAAAATCGCGCGCTATAAACCGGTATTATGAAAAGTGTCAATATCGATCGATACGTTTCTCGCGCAACGCGTTTTATATTGTAGCCAAGGTTTCGAACATTTTTACGTTTACCTCGCCGTGAACTCTTTGCGACCAAGTGTCGCGTGAGTGGACCACGTGTCTGCATTGACGCATAAGCGATACATTGGATAGGAAATCCAGGTACGTATCGTTTGTCGTACTGAAGTATCGAATTTCACACATTCCATGCAAATTTATGTTTACAGTGATTAACGGGTATTATTAGTCCCGCGAAGAGCACACCTGATATAACGTAAACGTTCCGACTTTGTAAATGTGTGCAGCTATAGAGAAAGAAATTTTTCGTTGGCACGAAGCGATTATTTATTATAATAGCGATCTGGAAATGGCGCTGATGTGGATTACAGAAATTTCATCGCGGCATCGTTACGAAACGTAAAACGCTCGAGCCGGCTTCAACTGTTGTAACTTTCGCAACGATTTGCGTATTAGAAAATCAACGAATAAATAGACGCCAAGACCGACGCGAAACTTCAGGTCGAGGAATGTGTATCGATACACGCGACGCGAACCCCGTAGAAAAGGCTGAAAGGGGACTAGATGCCTGCTGCGCAAAAGCTTGTAATAGGCATACTTATACTATCGTCTATGACTATTACTACTCTTAAATGACTTCCATTACTGAAAGCAGGTTTGCGAGGATGTGTGACAGCGAAGAAACTATTATTCGAATTGTATTCATTGAGCATTCGAATCTGACCTTATTTTTTTCAAGACTTCATTTTTTTCCTTTTATCTTGTTAAGATTTTAATCCTACGTAATCCTAAAAATATTTACACGATACCAACGTTACTACGATGATTAATTGACCTGCTGCCTGAGTCCAGATACTTATGGATGGTAGTGTACATCTTCAAAGTCCTTCTGCAATCAACAATGAGTGCATCGCAAACTGTTGCAATTGTTGCAATATAGCGTAATACGAGGGACACGTGCAGGCACCTTTCTGTACCCTTGGATGAAGGAAGCCTCATAACGAGATCGAGAATTATCGCGAGCACTTTCCAACCCGTAAACCGCGGATACACGGTGGCAGAGCTTCGATGAATCATGCAAACTTAGGATTGCCAATCATCCCTTTTGGAAAGTATAATCCTCTTCCTCGATTTTTTTTTTATCCTTTCTGTCTGGTAACTAGCGGCGCTGGAGCTCCTATGACGTCGATGACCTGTTTCACGTTACTTCTGATGTACCTACACACACATTCATACATCAATTACAAGATTTCAGTAACTAGCTCGTAGGAAATTATAAAATACAGTAGCTTTTACACTCTTCAAGGTTATCACTGATCTACATAAAAAATCTTTTCGTGGAAACACGAAGGCATTCCAAACGAGTTAATAAGAATCGATCTAAATGAATCACTAGCGATCATCGGTGTTACAGATTCCGGAGTTTCCCGGTTAGACGTCCTATCACGGTACAATTAAATGGTCACCGGTGCATAGTGATCGCAGCCGGAACCAGAAGCTCGTTAAAAGCAAAAGAAAAAAAGAAAAAAAAGAAAGAAGGCATGCGCACGCGCACGTGCCACGGCGACCGAAGATTTCGTAATTCCTTTGTAACACGTTACACTTGCACGACAATTCCGTGATTCACGCATGGTTATGCACGCGTAACGGTAGCGATAAATTATTATCCTACACCTATAGGATCTTTTATTATTCTTCGCCTGGCGATTTTAATCAATGCATAAGGATCCTTATAACTCTTCCATCCCCGTAATAAACCGATGAAAAGATGAAACGATAAACCATGAGCGGTATCGGCGATGGGGCAAACCATTTTTTTTTTTTTTTTTTTTTTTTGTAAGAACAATCGACGAATAAAATGACGACGGATAAAGTCAAGGTGCAGCGATTTATTGGCGACGTTTATTCGATCGAGAAGGTAAATTTTTGAACTCCGATAAACGTTCTATTATTTTCTCCTTTGTTTGCGTCTATTCATAGTAAATCGTTCGAGTTACTTTTTTTTTCGTCTATTTCAGATCGGAATTCGAAGGTGACAAGCATAGGACCAACGCCCACATACTTCAAGTATCGTACCGGCTATCGATCATAATAAATTAACGATTCTGACGCAACGCGCTGCATCTTTTTTATTATAAATATCAGATGTTTGGTGTCGGGAAGCTCGGTGCGTGCTCGCGACGCGTTCGGATACGCGATAAATGGGACCTCGCGTTCAGGGGCAACGTTACCGATTTTTCTGAAATACACTGTAGTCTGTTCAGAGTTTTCAAAATTTTAACAATTATAAAAGTCTCAATCAAGAATGCAGGTAGTCGATACAAGTGAATATGTATTTTAAACCTGAAGTTTAGGTTTTCCTCGCTGTGCAAGACTGTAATCTAGAACGAAATCTCAATTTTTTAGCGTTTATTTCCTCCTTCGATGTGACGATTTAAATGCAATAGCGGCTCAAACAGATATCAGTTCTTCGCGTGGAAAGGGTTGAGCCATTATTTGAGGAAAGGATCGTTGCCGAGTGTATCTGGCCATGAGGACCACGCCCGTGATACTTAAATACTCACGGTGTCAAGATAAGCTCTCTGTAAACGTGCGGTACCCAGTCACGGACCTAGGCTTGTGGGGCCCTGATGATAATTATTTTGAGGGGACCAGTTGTTGATACACTGGTTGTAGGTTAATAACGCAGTTAGATACTTCACAATTATGAAACGAATAAAATAAAACAATTATTTGATACATTTCGTTGATACAATGACTGGGCCCTTGGTAGAGGCTCATGACGATAGGATAACGAAGTAGTTATTTATTTCTTAGATATTAAAACTCATCTTTTATATGTTTAATCTTCAGAATCGCGATACGAATAAAATATTTAAAATAATAATTGACTACTAAATAATAATAATAATACTTGAAACATCATTAATTTCAGGGTACAGTAGGTTCGCCCCTGTTGGTACTTCGCGGCGGCGAGAAACAATAGCGTTTATCGTCGCTCTAGCATTTACATTGCCGGCGCGACGAGACGACGCAAAATATTTGTCGTTCTTACGGGTCATGCCCGCTATCGACGCCTGAAAGGACAATCGGCAAGAAGATGACCATGGCAAACTCGTTTGAGTAAACTTGCGCGCTCCTAAAAGCGTTTTTAACACTCGCGCGCATAAATTTCATTTCAGCGACGGTTTACGCGCGAACTCGTGCTCGGCAAGACGGAAATGTCACGACGGTCACATACCCCGAAAGATGTTCGTGTCGATGCACTGACAGTGTTGGGAGAAATGTAATCCACGAACGTGATAAATGACTAATGAGTAACGCGATACGATTAGTGTTGAATTATTACAAATTGGTGATTTATCGTTGCAGTTTGAAAATGCACGTTATGTCGCGATTGTTACTCGTTGTCCAATTCTAAACAGATTCCACGCAAAAATTACTATTAAAAGGGAATAAAACTTTATCTTTTATTTTATTTATTAACTTTATCTTTATCTTTTATTTATTAAATTATCGAATTTGTGTTTAAACGTGCCTTCGAGGTATAGAATTATTGCTTCATCTTGCTTTGAAAATATATATGGAAAATTCAAGTAGGAAACGATACGCTCAGAAACAATGGATCGTTGCAAAAAGCATAAAGAATTATTAATAGACTCGATGGAACGATAGGACACAGATTTAGTGACACGAATGTGTGCACCACAACAACACGCTGATATTAGGGCCATTATACCACCAAAGTGATAGCTGTTGGCCTTCGCTCATGGGGGAGTGATCAACTTTTCTCAAAGTGGGTATAAGTGTATCGATAGTAGAGGCATTTGCTCTTGCAAAAGCGTTAACCGTGGTACATAATTGTATTGCGGCTCGAAACCGACACAAAGCCCCGCCATTGCCACACTCAGACGTGGCAATAGATTATTATTAGATAATAAGACGGATCGCAACGATAAATCATAAATAAATGACAATTTATCGTGCATCATTTCTTCCATCGTTGAAATAGTCACAATTTAAGGAAGCATGAAATTAATACTACAATTATAAACATTAAACGAACCTAATAAAAAAAGCAGTAGCTCCTTAATAATTTTTTATTCGGTTAAACATTTCTTAGAGTATATGTAGTATGAACTACTAAATACAAAAAATAAATATACATTTCGCACGTTCGTCAAGTCTTATCATGTCTCAGAGCCAACCCAACGCGTGATCTTCTTGGAATTTAGTACATTCAGCTTGAAACGTTTCGTTCACCTATAAATCTTAGATTAGGATTAATCCCTAAGTCGTAACGTGTTCAAGGATATGTCCGAATCTGTCCTTATAAGTTCCAAGCGCTATGTTTCGCTTCGAAAAACTATATTTGTTTTTTTTCTTTTTGTTTTTTTTTTTACAACTGTTCGTATTCGGATTGAATCGAAGTTCTAAATTTACACGAATCAGGGCGAAGATCGATCAGGATGAAGATTATTATACAATTCGTAGAGTCGAGATCAGAACTGTGTAAAACCTAATTATTCTATCCAGGAGCTAAAACTTTATAAGGACAATTTAATACTGACTAATAGTGTACACTCACAGTGTTTAAATATTACAAGTTAACGAGTTATAGCGGCAGCTATCTTTCTATTGAAAGATGCGATCGAAGAATCGAACGATTGCAATGGTAGGGATGAGCTCTCAGTGACCGCGAGCGGCCATTTTTTCGTGACTCTATGGGTAAACTTCACTGTCGTTCGGAGAGGGTACTTGCTACGAACCTGTATTTACAGTAATTGCCACGTTTGGATAAAATGTAGTAATTTGATATCTTCAATCGTTTAACACTAACACTATCAAGGTCAATGCACATTTATCAAACATCGATATCTTTGCAATTAGAGGGAGGGTTGTAAACTAATTTGTCAATAAAATTAATTCTCTATTGTAATAGATGTCTCTAAAAATTTCAGTAAAACCATTGTTAATGGTTGAGTGATCTTAAGTAACTTAAAGTATATGGATCATGGCAGTTTTAGTGTTAAAAGACGATTAACGAACCTTAGACATTTGGTAAAACCGACGAATGCTGTTTTTTCAATATATTTCTCATGCAAACTAGTTTGTAAATGAACGCATTTGTGTTTTTATCTTGTTCAGACATCTTTATTACTAAAATTGTAAAAATATGCTAAAAACAATGATGAATCAATGATGAATTATAAAAGTTACAATTTCTATACATCTCATACTGTTATCCAATAAAACATACATCTCCAAGAGTTAGTCTACGATACACGTAGTCTTTTATAACGACGATTAACAGGATAAAATTGGCGGCGTTCTCCGTACGGCAGGGTAAACAATTAAAAACGATCATAAAAGAATTAAAAACATCATTAGCATTAGTAGTTTCTATGTTTGTTTAACTTATTGCATTGGCAAAACTAAACTTCGACTATCTTTGCACGTAATCGATCCATACTTGCAAACGTATGATCGAAATTCGTGTTTATTTAATCTTCAGGTATAAAGATTTGTGAATAGCAGAGCACATATAAAGCGATCTTATTGTCAATACATGCATGAACTCTTCTTAAATATTTGCGATACCTCTTGAGCAAAGGCTTTAATTACATTTAGATGATTTAGAAATTACTTGGAATGTTTCAATTTACTTCAAGGTAAATTGAACATTTGCATTTAAAACAAAACGTATAGGGACCAGAAAAGTATAAATTATCTTTTCAGTTGGTATCTTCGAGCGATAAATTTATCCAGGAAACGTACGGCCGAAGATTCTTTGTTGCACAAACCTCCATAGATAAAATTATATGACGACGCAAACATAAATGCAAACAATTAAAAATAAAATAATAAAAGACACAATATATAAATTTAGAAGGCTAAGAACTAAAGATAAAATTTGTGTGGAAATTTACAAGTAATCAAATTAATAGACAAATTTTAGGTACGTAGTGACTCATTGAGAAAGCACTTACAACTGACGCAGAGAAATATATACAAAAGTATTCCGAGAAAGTAAAAATCAAACTTAATAGAAAGAAAAACGAACAGGAACAAAGTCTACAAGAGAAAGTTCCAAAAAAGATACAAGATTAGATGATCCACAAGTCAAGAAGAAAATACTGAAGAGCCATTGTCTAAAATAGGTTATAATTCCATTTGTACATTTTTTAGAAGATATGTACTAGCCGAAGATATCAAGAAAAAAGAAACAAACACCTCCCTAATCCCTGTCTGATTTATCTTAAAATTTGAAGCAACCAATCATCCCATCACGTCCCATTTCAACAAAAAGGAAACAGTTTAAAGCATCATCATCGATCCAATTTCTCTATCGCGCAAGAAGTATACATTATTTCCTCGAATATCACAAATTACAACGATTTCATTACCATAGTCTCGTTACAAACGAAGGGACACGTACATCGAGTTCAGTGTTGTTTAAACAATCGCGACTCGGAAATGTCGTTGGGATTTAAATAATGAAACATCAATACCTGATAAGGGCGGCGTTAAAATTTAAGCATCGTCGCTATCGCTATCGTGCTGGTTATGCGATTCCTCTTCCATTGCGGGAGCGGCGTCCATGTTCCTATCGAAATTGTTTGGGTTCCAAGATGGCAGCCATTTGTTGACAACCCACCAGTTCACGGACAATCTGCCGTGATTACATTCCGCTTTCTCGCATCTGCCGAACAGCTGACAGATGCCAGCGACGCTTCCGTTTTGATTTCTGATGCAGGAATCGTCGCATGTATGTTGCCGTTCGGCGGAGCGATTGGCGGAGCAGAGAGAAGCGCGGGAGATGGAAGGATTTTGGGATGAGAACACAGGTCTAGCGTTGGAGGATGTACTGGGTTCGTTGGCCACGGAGGAAGGAGCTGACGGGTTCGACGTGGAAGTACCAGGTTCCATGTTGTTTCCTCCGCCAGCTGCGTTCGCGAGGGCCGAGACGCAAGGTCTGCCAATGTGGATCGTCGCGTAGAGCGGGTTGTTAACAGACGGACCAGCTCTGTTGATCCAATCGAGGTATCTACCGACCTGACTGGCGGATCCACAATTGGACAGTACCTTGCATCTGCACGAACAATTGCCTGGGTTTCTGCAATGGCATTCCATCCTCCACGATTCGGCGGGGCGACAAGACGTAACGGGCGGTTTCATGAAATAGTATTCACCGCGACAGAATGGACACCGGCAGTTCCTCGGCAACTGATATATGTAATGTCTAGAGCTACCCGCGAGTCCATCCTGGTAGCGTAGCTTGTTGTGCAGACTATGGCAATGATGACACAAATACCTAGTGTCCAAGTGTCTGCAGAACGGGCACATGCAGCTGTAACCGAGTGGGTGAACGGTACGCCCGGTGGACG